AGAAGATAAAGAATAGGGAGAGTCGGGAGGGGAAAAGAGACGGAGGCTGAAAGACTCATTCTCTGAGAAGATGCTGGGAATTTAGGGGTTTCCTTGTAAAGGTCATTTTTAACTAAGTTACTGAGCAAATCCTCCACCTGTTGTGACCACCTACTCTGCCTGGATTTGTGAGGTGCTATCAGAATAGCACCTGGCACACAGTGCACAGTCAGAAAGTGGTGACCCCACTTCTCCCCCCTCCTCAGCCTTCCCCAGAGTCCCTTTGGTGAAGCTCCTGGGAACATCAGTAGGAATGGTCTTGTCTGTCTGGCCTGACCATGCTGCAGTGCGAGTTTTCTTTGCTGATTCTAGTGGTATCTGAGACAAACACCTTTAAGAGCCTATCTAACGAACTGTGTGCATTCTTGCTTAGACTGCAAGGGAGCGTAGAGCTGGATTTGCCACTCAGCTTCAGCACACACACGTGACTTTCTGATGCATGTCTTCGTTTATAACCTGATACCTGACTTCTTTGTTCTTTTCTATCGCTACCTTTATTTTCCTTTGCCCAGATCTCTCCATCCCTCTCTCGTTGTCTGTCTCTGTCTCTCTGTGTTTCATCCTCTCACTTCTCCCTCCCCTTCTCTGCCTCTCTCCATCTCTCTTCCTCTCTCCTTCTGTATTTCTGTCCCTCTCTCCTTCTCTTTATCACTTCCTGTTTGTGCATGTCTCTTCTCCCTCCCCACCCATCGCCCCACTCCCCACTCCCCCTGACACACACACACACACACACACCTTTTCCATTTGCATCCTCTTTTTATGGTACCCGTTTCTATAAAGCCTCTTCAAGTCATTTATGAGAAGAGGCAAAATATCTATGAATACATGAGACCATGACATTGAGTCTATCCCTCACCAGTCTTGTACAATAGTGTTCACAAAAGACAGATCCCAGAGTTTTTCTGTCAGTGTATTGCTGTTGACCCGACTCAGCTACCACAAAAGAACCTCAGCATGTTTCAGGCTTTAATGTCACACAGGAATTTGAAGAGCTAGAAGATGATCAGCTCCAAAAGGGATCCCTCTGGGACTTTTGTCTCTACCTTTTGTTTCCTGTGTAATATAAGCCTGAATCTCAAAAATTAGTGAACTGTCTGGAGGGCGAATGGTACTATGTATGAAATCTATCTCAATAAAACTGACTTTTAAAAATTCGCCTGGAAAGCGTGTCACACAGATTTCTGGGCCCCACCCCAAAGATCCTAATTCAGTAGGTCCGGTGCGAGGCCCATGAACTTGGCTTCCTAACAAGCTTCCAGGGGTGTGAAGCTGCTGGTCTACAGACCACACTTTGAGGAGCCCTGCTCTAAGCCCTGACAAGGGACTCCCTCTAACTGCTTGGAGGTGGTTGTCTAAATGGCCTTTTGTGGAGCTTATCAAAAGCCTTTTTCAAGGTCTAAATCAAATTAGATCCACTAGTCTCCAGCTCCTTCATCTTACCACGCTCGCTCCTTGACAGATTTAGTGAGCACAGAGGAGCCAGTTATGTGAACTACAGCGGACCCTTCCAGCGTTCACTGTCAGCGAATAAATAACCAAGCCTGTTCATTAACCACCCAGGCCTGGACTCACAGGTAACTAATCAACCAAGGCAGTTGGACCCCATGTCTTGGAAGCTGCTGCCAGATAGGAATACGCTGTCACCAGGAGGAAGGCCGGCCAGCAGCCCTACGTGGACATCTCCACCTGGCTTTGGGCTTCCTGTTGGTCGCCACATGTGAAAGTCGCTATTAAGAACTAAAGGAGACACTTGGACTTTTAGTCACACTGCACTGAATTTACGGAGGGAGAGGAAGACTATATACTATGATGGTCTTATCACATGTGAGAGTTCGTTAGCATCTTGGATTATCCGTGATAGTAATAGCAGCACGGACAGCTGAGTGAAATGTAAGAAGCAGTTTGTTGAGTACAGTACTGATCAAGTTTTGCCTTATTCAGCCTCAGAGCCACCCATGAGGCAGATAGATTTCCTGTCTTGTAGAGGTGGAAGCAGGCCGGAAAAGCTCAAGTACTTCCTCCAGGTGGCAGAGGGAAGATTCAAACCCATATCTGTCTGCCTCCGAAGTCCATGGTCGTAACCACTAAGTGCTCTCTTGCCTTCCGCATCAAGGATTTTATCGTATTTTTAGCTCTGCTTTTTCCACTAGGATTATGAGATTTCCAAACTTATGACACTTCTAGAAGTAATTCAGGAATAGCGAAGCAGCAATATGAGTTTAATATTCATTGGTGGTCTAGAACCCCACGATATGAAATGGTCTGCCTTTTCTCAAAAAGTTAAAACTCCAAAAATATGTTTTTTTCCAAAAGATAATTGAGAAAGACCCACTCCCCAAACGCCCAAAACAAACATAAGAAAACCTTTGGAAAGAAGCAATAGAAACTGTATCTGTCGTACTAACTTGAAATAGCTACCTACTGTGTCTCAAGTGTTATTTGGACAAAACAAGGCTATTGGAGTCTAATTAATAAATCCAAAGTGATGCCTTTTGTGCTGGTCAGCAGACCTGTTTGTGTGTTGTTCTTTACAGTGATCCCGGCTGGCTATTTCTATTTCTGTCTGAAAGCCAAGGAAGAAAAACCCTGAGCGGTTTGTTGACACCCCCAGCTCTTGAGAGTTATAGGTGTCAGGGCTGTGAGTAGGACTCCTCTCTGCCCCCCAGCTCCGTTCTCTTTCCCGCCCCCTTGGAGCTTTCCCAGTTCTGTCTGTGCTGCTCCAGGTGGACTTCTGTGCCTTAAGTCATCTTCATGACATGCTCATGCCATGCCCACCCCAGAGAAGCCCTGCTACCATTTTCATGTATATCCTTCCCAGACTTCTTCATATCTAAATTTCTGTTTGTTCATTTAAGTAGCATCATACTATCCAGATCATGCTGGAAATGTACCTATTTCACATACAATAACATATCATGAGCATCTTCTTGCATCACTACTTGTTCCTCCTCAGCGTCGGTTTCATGGTTACCTAGTACTCTTTTGTACTTCTTTTCCGGTTTCTTGCATTTAAAACAGATTTTTGTGAAAGCTATCTTTAAAAAATGGTCACTGTCACTTTGCGAAAGCAAAATCGCTTTGGAGTAGTAGGCTTTAAATAGTAAAATTGCTCTGGTATCTCTGACTCAGGGAATCTTTTGCAGAGGTGGTTTTGTTTCCTACAAAGGTAAATAAGTAAATAAAGTCCTGCTGGAAAGCACCCAATGCAGGAGTCTCCGGTAGAAAGTGAGTGAGAACTACGGAGGGGATGCTAGGAGGGACCAGAAATCCAGCCATCAGGGCTTCGCGCCTCCTGACTGGTGGGGGCCAGCAGGCGTGTTCTCCTGTGCCATGGATCTGAGCCAAATGTCTTTTCTCTCCCTAGCAGACCCGCCCATGGCCGCAGCTGTGGTGTCTTATTTTAATGACTGCCCGGATTCTCACAGTCAGTTTTGCTTCCACGGAACCTGCAGGTTTTTGGTGCAGGAGGACAAGCCAGCATGTGTGTAAGTGTCCCGTGGTGTCTGGGGGTTCTGGGGCTGGGGGTGGCTCAACAACCAATTGAAAGAGGATTTACCTCCACAAGGCATGCCAGAAACCCCTGAGACTCCTGGCACCTGACATGTTGGAGGATCCAAGCAGCAGGCTGAGGAATACCTGCTTCAGACTCAGCTAGTGAAAAATCCAGGTCCCAGGGCCCTTGCCCAGAGTCACTGAGGCAGAACTACGGGGGGCTGTAGCCTGGGGGGCTGCATTTTTAACAAGCACCTCAGGTGACTGTTGGGTCCAGCAAAGTCTGAAAATTCCTGGATTCAAGTTTAGTTCTTGAATTCGAGTTTAATACTTAAAATTTCTGGAGGGCAAGGCACTCAATTGGATGCTTAGAGTAGCCAGAGTCTCTAAGATGAGGTCTCTACCCTGTAGCAGTTTTACATGCAGCTAATAAAAAGCTGAAAGTGCATACAAAGAGTTGGTGTACATAGTGATAACAAAACAAGGAACAGCCTAGAAATAAGCATGCATGCCAGGGCAAAGTGGTTTCCACACCAGGCCGAGCGTGAGCCCCTGTGGCTTCTGAAAGTATAACTGAGCCCCACCTCGACCCCCTGAATCAGAATCTGCAGGAATGAGACCCAGGAGTCACATTAGTCAAGAGCCACCAGCCATGGTCAGCCAGACTGGGGAAGAAAGGCCCCTGAAGAGAGCTTCTGGGAACAGGTGTTGTGGTTTGGCTGGTGGGGAGAGCAGAGAGGTTACTCCAGGCCTGGAGTGTCGGGGACGTGCTGTTACAGGTCAGTGTAGCTACGGCAGGGAGGAGATGAGATCGGAATCAAAAGAGAGGCCAGAGCTTTTGTTGAAAGTGAGCCTTTATTCTGTAGGCAGTGAGAGCCATGTCGGTTTTGTAAAGCGATGTTTAAGAAAATTAATCTGTTCATAGTAAAAAGCTATTAGGTGGCCCTATACTTAACACTGGCACTATTGACATTTGGGGCTAGATAATTCTTTGTTGTTGGAGCCGTCCTGTGCTCTGAAGGGTGTTAGCAGCACCCCTGGCCTCAACCCACCAGATGCCAGTAGCACTACCACCCACAGTCATAATAAAATGTCTCCAGACATTGCCAGATGTCCCATGGGGTGTGGCAGAATCACCCCCTTCCCCCACTAAGAACCACTCATCTATATGAAGTTGCCATTCTTTGGGTCAAAAATGCTTGAAAGTCAGCAATTTCATGTAGTCCAACCTAATAGTACCAGTAAGTAACGCCATTAATAAAAACTAGCATTTATTGAGCTTTTGTTTCATGTTAGTCACCGCTCAAAGCACGGTCCATATGTTAACTCATAATCCTCAAAATGACCCCATGAAGTAGGCACAGAGAGGTCATGCCCAGGTTACATAGCAGAGTTTACATTCAAATCCAGACTGGCTCCTGCAACTGAGACCTTAACCATAATGCTCAAGGATATCGAAGGCTGGAGCCCAGGAGAGACTGGGGACCAAGAGGCCCTCCGGCAGAGGCAGTAGTGAGTAGGGCTTTCTTCTTCCTGAGGTGTGGCTGTGTGAGCCTGAGCAGGCCCCTTGTGGCACCTCCAAGCCTCAATTGGAGAGGCACACTGGCCACCTTCCTCCTTGGGGAAGGACTGTGTGAAGGTCCCAGGTCGTGTCTGCAGAGCTAAGAGCACTCTTCACCCCATAAATACAAAGCACAATGATAATAGTCATTATTCATGATTATCATTCTTGTTAAAACACACATAAGGGCCCCTGGGGGACTGATGGGTTGTTTTTGCTAGTAGCTGGGTCATTGTAGAAAAACACTGGCCCTGATGGAAGTGTTGCCTCAGCCCAGATATCAGGAAAGCTCCCGGTACAGCAGGCAGAAGGCAGTCTTCCCTCCAGCAGTGTCCAGGGCCGAGACTTCAGAAGGCCGCCGCTAGCCGTGCTCTTTGAAGAGAGATGACAAGTCTTTGCCGAGTTCCGATAAATTGTGTCCAAAGCTCACTTTTTTCTCCTCAGGGGACTTCCCCACCAGATCAGGGACTGGTGTGAACTTTCTGAGAGCTGGCATCCTCCAGCCTGGGTCAGCAGATGAGCCAAAGCAATAACCTCATCAGTGGCCGAATCCCCCCATCGCTGTGGGGAGCTTTGTCAGCTGGGATCCCAAGCTCTGCTCTTGGCTCACAGAGACACTTGACCATCACATATACACATCGTTACATTTCTATAATCAGGATAACTGGTGATCTCGCCTCCATTCACATAATAAATATTACTATTAGAAATAATCTCTCAGTAAAAGCTGTCGCTTTGTGCCAGGCACAGCCCCCAACACCCCACATAATGTGGCTCAGAGTCCTCACAGCTCCAGCTCCCCTCTCAAGTAGGGATTCTCGCCCTTATTATGTAAATGAGAAAACGAAGCCAGCTCAGAGAAGTTAAGCAACTTGCCCAGAGTCCCAGAGCTAGTAAATGGAAGAGCAGGGATTCAGTCCAATCAATTCCAACCCCAAAATCCATTCTCAGCTACTGCCCCAGAGAGCACGCTACTTCAACCTCACAAAGTTCATCTCAAATCACTAAGCTCTTTGGTTTCCAGGGAAGGTATTGGCAGCTTTTCCCTGGAGGTAAACCTTCCTCCAGAGAAGGTCAGGGTCATTCCCAAGCTCACTGCCCTAACCAAAGACTCTAAGGAGTCCTTCCTGTGAGGCCAGTCCAGGATCTATGGACATAGTCAAGACAGTTTTACAGTTTAGAAAAGCCGATCATCTGTGGGGAAGCACGGCCATGCAAGCAATTACCACCTCTGTCCCTCTATTTCCCCCACTGGATCTTGGTGGCATTCAGCCCACAGACATGTTTTGTGTGGAGGTAAATGAAAATCCACATTGTTCTTGGGTGGTAAGTTAGTTGTCAGCATTTTGGACGTCAGGTTTCACATCTCCAGGCAGAGGCCCACCTTCTCTTGAACACAGAGCGTGCCCGCTCCAGTTTTCACCTCTCTCCACTGCTCTCCGACACTGAAGCCAATATTGGTCCCCAGTCATCCCGCTGCCTCCTCTGTTCTGCTTACACCAGCCCACTTTGCTCACGTCTGCTGCTCCATGAGCTTATAAGTGTAGTGAGGACAGGACCATACCTTATACCTGCTGTATTTATAGTACCTAGAAAAACGTTCTAATTAATTCCTACTAGACCAGAAAGTCTGTGCAAAGAAAGCAGAACATTCTGTCCCCGCTTTTAAGACCCGCCCAGCTTTGGGGAGCTGACACAAACATTCTGGCCAATAAAACTGACATCGCTGAGGTAAGGCCTTGTCTGTCACAGCCTCATAAAGAAGCCCCACAGCGACCCTAGATTATAGTATCAAAAAGGAGCGCTCTTTCTAAAATCCTGTTATCTTTAAGCTTTATTCTCCATAAGAACCATAGTCTTTAGATTCCCAGAAAACCTGAAATGACATCTCACACTAAAATATGAGGTCAAGAAAAAAAGTCAAAACAGGTAACTAGTCAGATAGGCCAAGGTAGTAAAAACTGTCCTTAAACATTTATGCCACAGACGAACCCTAGCTTGTATTTTACATCTCCCTTCAATAAAACCCTGCTAGTACTCAGCTATACCAGGAAACAAATGGGAAAAGAATTTCCAAAGACAGTAAAGCCATAGAGATGCAAGCTTAGGACTCACACACCATGTTTTCCCCGAGGCAGATTCCACATTATTGGTCTGCTGCCTGCAGAAGCCTTCAAACAAAAGAAAACAGTTGAAGAAAGCCACCCAAGCAACGAGTTTTAAGGGTTCCAGTGTTGGCAGCCGGTGGCAACTAGTTTGAAGTTTCTCACCTGTCCAAAATGCTCCTCCGTGACTGAACTCCCTGACTTAACTTTCCCACAGCAAAGTGTGAAAACAAATTACTGCCAGCCAAGGAAAACATTCCACATGGCCCTGGCCACAGGACATTCCGATGAGGTCTGAACAGAGTCAAATCAGAGAGAAGGGACCGCTGTCGGCGTGCCGGCGGGCTGCCTGCATGACCAGGGACACACCTCCCAAGAGATTAGGATAGACAGGTTTGCTTGTTGGAGCTTGAGCTACTTAATGTAGGTCTCCTCTCACCTCAACAACCAGCAGGTGGTAGGGCCCCGGGGTTAAGAAGTTATGACATCACCACCATCCACATGTCTGGAGAAAGTACATGTCCTCATTCCCTTTCTCTCTTCCCCCACGAGAAGCAGATACTGAGGGTCACATACTAGGCAGGATAATGCAGCAGTAAAAGGCACAGATCTGGAGGTCAGATGGACCTGAGTCTTTTCATCTTAACAGGTGACTTAGCCCCGTTAAGCCTCAGTTTCTTTGTTTATAAAATGGGGACGCTAGTACTTCGTAGGATTGTAATGAGGACCCAGGGACCATAATGCATGTAGAGCTGTTGCTGTTCAAGACGAGAGCTACCAGACAGGCAGGGCTATTTAAATTAATTCATTTAATTCATTAAAATTCAGTTTCTCGGTCTCACTACTATATTTGAAATACACAATACCTCTAAGTGGCTCGTGGCTTCTGTATTAGACAGCATAAATATAAACAATTTCCATCATCACAAAGTTCTATTAGACGGCACTGGAGGACATTCAAGCCCAGTTCCCAACAGAGAGTAAGAGCAGTTGTCATCAGCACCGTCCCCATTGTGATCAGCTCATTGTTACCATCACCATGGCTGAAGGACTGGTAAGGGTCTGCTGAAAGAAGCAGTGGAAGTCTGGTAGACCGTGGAACCTGGGACTCCCATAAGTCTCCGGATGAGAGCTGCAAAGGAGCCCTGACTCCATTCAGCCCACTCCTCCCCCAGCCCCAGTAGCAGAGAGGCTATAGGACTTGGCAAATTCAATTCTTAAGAGGCCAAGAATAGGTGAGTCCAATACAGGTGTCCTTGGGCTCAGGGGCCCACTCCTACCCCAGCCCTGTGAGTTTTCTCCATATTAAAAGGCAAGTTGGTAGAAA